AAATGAGTTATCTATCTACTCAGTAGATATCAGATCAACCAAGAAAAAGTCCCTGATTTCACTGAAGGGGGATATATCCCCAATTGAAGAAAAAAAAGAAAAAAGAAAGCCTCTGTAACAAATATGCATAACAAAACAAAACAGTTTCCTATATTGGCCATGTCATATAGGCTACAAGCCAAGACCAAAGTAGAGGGAGTGTTGGTGCATGATTTTCTGTTTGCAGATGATTTTGCATTCAATACAACCTCTGAAGCTGAGATGCAACAAAGCACAGATCGATCACCAAGAAAACTCAGGGGTTCCATCAGCCACCACCACATCATCTGTACGTGGAACCATTGGTTGCAACAAATGGAGTTCTGAATTCTGTAGTTCACTTACGTTGGTAGTGTACTTACCAGGAATGTACATACTGATAATGGGGTTGATGCATGCATTGCCAGAGCTAGCTCAGTGTTTGGGAGGCTTCAAAGGAAAGTGTGGGAGAAGAGAGGTATTAGACTGACTACCAAACTGAAGGTCTACAGAGCCATTGTACTGATTGTTGTATGCCTGTGAAACCTGGACAGTATGACAGCACCATGACAGGACACTAAATTGCTTCCATCTGAATTGTCTTAGGAAGATTCTAAAGATCACCTGGCAAGATAAGATATCAGACACTGAGGTCCTTTCTTGAACTGAATTGCCAAGCATTCAAATTCTCCTGCAGAGAGCGCAACTCTGATGGGCTGGCCACATTGTTCAAATGCAAAACACATACCTGCTTAAAAGATTATTTTATGAGGAACTCACACAGGGCAAGTGTTCACGTGGCAGTCAGAAGAAGCGATACAAGGACACTCTCAAGGTCTCTCTTAAGAACTTTGGAATTGATTGTGTGACATGGGAGACACTGGAACAGGACGGCCCAGCATGGTGTGCCCACATCAGAGAAGGTGCTGTGCTCTATGAGCAAAGCAGAATTGAAATAACTGTAAAGAAACACAAGATGCACAGATTTAGGGAATCCACCCCAAATGTTCACATGGACTATTTGTGCCCAATCAGTGGTAGAACATTCCAAGCTCACGTTGGTCTGATCAGCCACGGTCGGACACACTGAAACTGGACTCTAGCATAGCAATATCATTTTGATCCTCTTTGGGAACAAAGGACGATGACCAACCAACTATATGTATATGTGTGTCTATACGTATTGTACATATATATGTAGGTGTGTATATATAACGTGTGTGTAAAACAATTTTCTACATTGGCCATGTTCAATATAGATAGATGTGTGTATACGTATTACATATGTAAGTGTATATATGTATTATGAGTGTACAATATATATCTATATTATACATATATTAAACCTATATGTACAATACACCTCTGTCTGTATTATGATACATACATATATGCACACATATAATAAATGCCCACTGTAAGAAATCATTTGCTATGTATAGTATATATGCATATATGTTTGTATACATACATCTATCAATGTATATATGTATTCATATGTCAATGTATATATTTATATATCAATGAATATATCTATATATCAACATATATATATTTCTATATCAATGTAATATGTAATCAATGGGTGTATGTGTGTATATTTATATATCAATGTAATATATAATCAGTGTATGTATGTGTGTATATTTATGTATCAATCTGCACCTTGAGTACTTCACCTCTTTGTCAGGAGGTCAATAGCATGCTCCGTCATCATTCTTCTGGCATCATGTTTAGTCACTGTGTTGATCGGAGTTCCTAAGTCTTTCAAAGTTGTTTACGGTGTTGTTATTATTATATGAATAACTATCCTGGTTCCAATCAGAAGTGTTGACACTATGTGACCTTGGGCATGTCAGCTTACTTCCCTTGTCCTCAGTTGCCCCAACCTCCTTTTGAGCTCTCAATCTACGATTCTACACTATTCTGCATGACAGCCTTCTACATGTTTCTGGCCAGCTGTCATAGTCTTCCTAAGTTTTTACTTTTTTGGGATAAATATTGTAGTTCCTTTGGCTTTTTCCAGATGGTATAGTTTCACAACCCCTCAACAGCCTGGTCATGCTCATCTTTTACATAACCCAGCTTGTCATTGTTCAAAGAACTAAACATAGTATTCCAGAATTGGCCTGGTCAAAATTGTCTTTCTCCACAGTAGACTGGTTTAGTGATGTATTATCTGATAATTAATGGGTTTTAGCCATTTTGAGTGTGCATAATTTATCTCCTCGAGTAGAAATGCTGCATTCCTAACTCTCCCTAATAGACTTTCTCTATTATGCTCTCATGCTGGTTATCTTCATATGCCCATCTGTCACTGCTTTTCAGCTCTCATTTATGTGTTGTATTTCCCTATTAGAATGTAAGCTCCTTGAAGGCAGGGGCTATCTTTCTTTCTGCTTGTGTTTGTATTCCCAGCATGTCTGGCACATAGTAAGTGCTTAATAAATGCTTATTGGCTTGTTGACTTTTAAAGTAGCTTGTGGAATTTGCATAAGGTTATTAAATGCACGGCTTTGATATTTTGATAGCTCTGTAATTTCACTGGTATGAGCGATCACATTGATGGGGATTAGCAGATAGGCTAAACAGGTTGAAAGTAAATGGATAGGCCTCAAACCTGTTCATGAGTTAGGGTGAGGTCTATCCCAAGCAGGTGAAGACTTCCCCTGGCAGAATGGGTGGATGAGAAAAATTTGTTCCAATAGCTGTGAAGGTGGCTGAAGCAAATGCTGTGGAGCATTAGAGCCTGGTCAGATATCAAAGATGCCAAGGTCATTCACTGAATCCTGGAGCATCACCAGTCCTCTTGACTTTTGTCTTGTAACTGGGCTTCAATGATTCTGGAAGAAAGTGAGGTTGATGACTTTGTGAAACTCTGCCTCACTTAAATCCAATTCACACACAAGACAAAGGGAGGCATCTCCAGTTGTCCTCATCTATATCTTGTCACTGGACCCAGATGGTTCCAGAGGAGAAAGTGAGGCTGGTGACCTTACACAGTCTCCCCCATTTAAATCCAATTCACTTTCAAATCATGGCATCATCTTCCTGATGCCATGGTCCTCTTTGAGAATGACGGGCCAACAACAACAACTAGATAAGATATCACCTGTCCTTTTTGAAAATGAAGGATAAATAACTCTAATGTACAGTCTTATGACTGTGGTTTCTCCAGCCCTTGTGAATCTCTTCTGTCTTTTCATAAAAGTTTCACAGAGAGGTGTACCCAGGAGAGAGACCAATGGACAGACAGACCAACGGGTAGATGGATTAGATAGACAGACAGACAGACAGACAGACAGACAGACAGACAGACAGACAGACAGATAGATAGATAGATAGGTAGATAGATAGATAGATAGATAGATAGATAGATAGATAGATAGATAGATAGATAGATGATAGATAATTTTAAAAGAGGTTATGTTTATGTCCCAGGCACTATTCTAATCCGCTAACAGGTTAGAGGCATTTATCCTTAACGCACCATCCATTTTTTTGTCTCTCATTCTTACTGTACGACAGGCTTATCTCCCATGTTCTCCATGTTATCTTTTATGCCACTTCTTATGAGAAAATCATTGTCAGCAATACATGGTGGCCTATTCATGCTTATCATTCATCTCTCCATAGCATTTTGGATTTGAAAATTGGATTCTCCTGATATTGTGGAAATTTAGCTAAATCCATCACTGAGGAAATATTTGTCTAACTGTTCTCTTCCAAACTATGAAAGTTGATTTTTTCCTACATTACCACACTTCTTGTCTCTCTTATCTCCCACAGAAGTACCATTGTATGTACCACTGTAATTACTAGTGTGAGAGGTAAAGGAGGAGGTGGGATAGACAGGTCACCTTTGATTTGGGATCCAAGAAATAGTAAATCAAAGAACACTTGACCATGGGTATCACTGGAACAAATGAAATCCAAGGAATTGTTTCACCAAAGCTTTAGTCTTTTGTGGCCCTATTGGCAAGAATTTCTTGATTTCTCACCCTACATAGCAGCATATTTATAGTGATAGCTACAGGGAAGGTCCCTTTCTAAACTCAGTTTTGTTTTTGTGGACAAAGCTACCATCACTCATTCATTGATGAGCAAGAGGGAAATGCCAATAAAAAGCTAATAAAATAAACATACTTGGAGATCATAATGAAGTCTGCTTTGTGCTCTATGTGAAATCCTTACAGGTCTCCATGCAATAGCACCTGCTGATGCCTGCAGACATTCTGCATTAACTTTATCTAACACTTTTATTTTCTCACTAAGCTACATCACTGACTTTGCATGCTTCCTTCGGCTTAGAACCAAAAGGACTTAGACGATGGTTTGGGGGCACAATTGTAACACAAAATTTGAGTTTAAAAGGCAAACAATGAAAATATGCATTGAATTAATGGGGAGTTCTTTACTCTACGATGGTAAAATGAACAACACCAATGAAGCCTTGTTAGGACAGCAGTCACTGCATAAACTTGCATGTATCACGCCTCTTGATTTTTTCTCTATTGCACATAGCCAAGAATGTGTGTGACTGCCAACAAGAAAGTGAAAATGAGGTTACTAATAAAATCACCAGAATTCTTGAAGTCATGAAAGTTAAATGCACAAATGTTGAGATTGTGTGCTCTCTTTAGTGCTATCCTGTTGTTGTTGTTTTAGACAGAGCAATAAACCTTAGCCTAGGATGAGCAGAAGGCTCTCTTCTTTGACTCCCTCAGAGTCTTAGCTCTGAGGTGTGTTCCTTACAGGCAAGAGCTAGGAGAGGTCTAGCCTCTTCTGTTTGGCAATTATTACTGGTTCAGAGTCAGTTCTCTTGTCCAGGGATCTTCCTTACACTAGAGAAAATGTACAGTAGAAGTCACTTTGTTGTTCAGATATCAAAGTCATGTCTGATTCTTCGTGACCCCATTTAGGATTTTGTTGGCAAAGATACTGGAGTAGTTTGCCATTTCCTTCTCCATCTCATTTTATAGGTCAGGAGACCAAGGCAAACACCCACCAACTGTGAAAGACAGAGCATCTGAGGTGATGTGGAAACCTCCCCTGTCTTGGTGTCTTCTGACGGCAGCCAGCGATTCAAGTCCCAGCAACCTCTCCATTGCTTTTCAGAAGGCCACCAAGGTAGAGGTTTACAGCAGTAGAGTATATTGTATAGCACTGTCACACTGCCATCTGACACAGAGGAAGATAAGATTCAGATTAAAAAATGTTTTAGTTTTAAGAATTTTATTTGTTGTACAGTACTTATGTACTGTAGATTTAATGTATTATGAAAAGTGAGTATTGTCTGAAATTAATTTATTTTATCGAAATGTCAACACAACAGCTCACAGAATTCTAGGGAATTACTGGAAAGAAAACAAATTATGCCAACTTTATTTTGTGTACTGCACTTAATGGGTTATTTCATGGTTAGGAAAAAATACATATTGGGGCAGCTAGGTGGCGCATGGATAGAGCACTGGCCCCATAGTCAGGAGGATGTGAGTTCAAATCTGACCTCAGACACATAACCCTCACTAGCTGTGTGACTCTGGGCAAGTCACTTAACCCCAATTGCTTCACCCCCTGGCCCCCAAAAAATACATATTAACAGAATTAATGTTTTATTATAAAGAATTGTATGCAGAAAGGTATAGTTTCAGCAATCTCTAGTAAAAGATTACAGTTTTTGGTGGTAGTGGGAACCTAGCCTCCTATTTCCCATAGGTTTAATCTGTCAACATTCACTTGTTTTATTTTTGCACCGTTTTCTAGGAACATCATCCCCGAGTAACCAGTTAACCAGCCAATCCAGTGACTGAGAGACGTGAAAGACTTCAGTTGATCATGGTATGATGGGCAAAACGAATATAGTAGATTGACCCGTCCAGCTGAGCTGCCACTCTTTAGATGAGCCCAACAGCCAAGTGATCTACCTAGCAGTCCAAATGGCAAAGTGGACTGTCCAGCCCAGTCTACCATTAGTTATCCATGAGTCAAGTGACCTGCCTGATCTAGGCCATCAACAGCTAAGCCCAGAGAAGAGTCTTCTCAGCAGCCAGATGATCTGCTTGACCCATCCTAGCAATGGATTGACTCATCGAGATAGATACTGTGTAATGCAATTTTATTATCTCCTCATCCAGAAGAGAAACCAGCCCAGCTTAGCAGTAGAAGGACTCATTCATCCTTGATATCATACCCAAAGCAAGCTTCAAGAGGACCCTTAGGAGAAAGGAAGGGACAATGAAGGCCTTGAGTTCCAGAGGGATGAGTTTCCTTGGCCACCTATGTTCCTTACATGTGTGCCTCATGTTGTACTTTCTTATTCTACTACCACCTCCCTGGACTCTGCATATATTTATGGAAGATTGTGTCCCAGATTTGGAGGTGAACATTTTATAACTACTGATCTTGTTGGAATATTTCATTAAATGTCTTTGCCACAGAGATAAGTCTACTGGCTTATTATTAAGAGGAAGCACAACAGTGGAGGCTCATGTGCTGTCATATTACCCATAAGGTTACTCGGAGGGTTACCCTTGGAGTGCCCCTCTGAGGACTCAACCTGACAGTGCCCATGTGAATTGGGGGAGTGAGGCCAGAGGGGGTGTTGTATTTGTATTCCTCATGCATAGCATAGTGCCTGGAAAATTGTAATTGCTTAATAAGTGCTTCTTGATTGATTCATTAACCCAGAACAATTAATGTAACCTCTCTAGGTCTCAGTTTTCTCAAATATAAAATGCAAGGTTTGAATTAAATTACCTCAAAGGTGCCTTTCATTTGCAAATCTATGATCCTTTGTTGTACCTTGGGCACACTGAAGGAGTCTTAGAGATCCCAGAATGCCTTGGCCATGATGGAATTTTGTATATTGAAAGTATAATGAAAACTATACTTTCCCCTACTTTCTGAGAGAGTCACCCTCCCCTATTCCACCCATGTACTCTTCACTTTGCACAAGACATAAGGTCTCTGGGTATAGAAGTTGTTCTTTGGGAAGCTCTTTTACACCTAGTTTGTTGGGAGGCAAAGGCTGGGATGAGGTAAAATTTTCTAAGATACAGAGAAATATGAACAGATCTGCCCACTTTAGGGAGATCTGGCCAAATGCATGGGTGTCCTTTATTGGGTATACACACATTTTGTGCCTTTGACCAAAATCAGTGTCAATTTAGTATTACCTTTGCAAGATGTGGATTTCCTCCAGTGTATTTACTGTGTAACATGAGATCAGGTGTGAATATGAAATAATGTGATTGAAGACTGATTTGCTGAAGAGCTTTAATGAAAACATAGGCATGGGGCTGCACTGACCTACTGCATCTTAGAAAGCTTCTGTGAAATGTGTCCCCAGGATTCCTGTTTTGGTCTGGTTCTAACTTCATTTTGGATTTTGCATTTAAATGTCTGCTGATTGGGTTTGGGCAATGCTACAGGGCTGGTGTGTTTTGGAGTGCTCCATCTCTTCAAAGCCTTACTTAGCCTTAATGACCAGGAGTGCAGAGAAAGACTTTGAAAAGGGAGTGGGGAGGGACATGGGAAGGAGAAAAGATAAATTTTTGTTCATTGAAAAAAAGTAAAATTAAACCAATAAAAAATAAATTTCCTCTTATCAGATTTTCTTCAACATTCTAGGCTTACAAGATCTTTTGGGGTCCAGGGTAGCACCCAACATGTTGGAGTTGCTTCTTCCAGAAGCAACTCCTTGGCCATCTTCCCCAGTTTCATTTCATAAGCACATTTAATAAGGATGTTACTTATACCTTTATATAAGTCATTGAAAAAAATTAAATGACAGAGGATCAAGCACATATCATTAAATCTTTCCACTAGAAAGTTTCCAAATTGACAGTGACCCCCCCCCCAATGAATAATCTTTGGGTCCAGCCATTTAATTAACCACAAAATCACCTACCATCACCAATTTCTAGCAACATCCAAAAGAATATCATGAATTGGTGAAATGCTTCAGTAGCTTCACATATAGTCTTGTTTTAGACTTAATGAATAGCATTGCAAAGAATGGCTTTGATTCCCCTGATCTACCAGTTTAGTAACCAGGTCAAAAGAGGAAATGAGGTTCATCTGATGTGGCCTGTTTTTGAAGACATGTTGGCTCTTTGTAATCACTGTTTCCTTTTCTGGATGTTCTACCCATCCCTTTCATAATATAATAAGGCATTATTAAGACTGTCCTCTCTTTCCCTACCCTGGTTCTTAGCATGGTCTTTAATTCATCAGGAACCAACTCTAACGTGTGCCTCATACATGGCTTTTTTTTTTCTATCTAAGCAGCTCAGACTGGGGCAGGAAAGCAGAAACACATGGATGAATGTAGATAGATTCCATCAGGGCCCTGGAGACCTATAGTTTCTGCTGGCCCCATGAACTATCTTCCCTGCCTTCCTAGGAATAAAATCTTGGTGATGAGATGAGGAGAAACTTCTGCTTTTATCAGTATCCAGATTTACATTGCATTGATGCTGCCCTGACTACAAATCTGAACTCTGGAACGCTGGGATACTGACTGAGGCTCTGCTCCATTAATTCATCAGGGACATTAGTTCTGTGCTGACTGCAGATCCAAACGCTAGAATGACAGGATGTTTCAGAGCCCTTTGGACCCATTTGAACTTACAAAGTCATAGACTGCACTCCTTTCACAAATCATCAAGATCCCCCAGTAGTGATGTAGCAAAGGGGAAGCTGAAAATGACAGGCCTTTTTGAATGACTCTGCAGCCTATCAAAGATGCTTTTTCTTGCTCATGTTGTTAGCCAACTATAAACAGTTACAGAATGTCTATACATATTCCAGTTTCTCCAAGGCACTTTCTTACTTGATTCTCCCAGAAGCAACTCCCTAACTTCATCCATGCGGAGAAATGCCATTTGCTCCCTAGTGTTTTCTGGATGGAGACACCATCTGAGCTCCTCAGTACACATGTCAGACCCCCCATTAAACAAAGAAAACCAAAGCAGTTCGAATTACAAGGAAAACAATTAACTGGGGGGTGGGGGAAATTGCTAAAAGTTTCTCTGATACATATCTCATTTTCAAGACATATAAAGAATTGATTCCGCTTTGTAAGAACAAGAGACATTCCCCAATTGGTAAATGGCCAACAGCATGAATAAGCTATTTTCAAAGGAAGTAATCAAAAATTTTAATAGCCATAGGAAAAAAGTGTTCCAAGTCACCAATAATTGGAAAAAATACAAATCTTGAAATCTTTGAGCTTTCCCCTCACAACCATCAGATTTAGATGACAAAACAAAAAAAAAAATAGCAAATGTTGGAGGGGCTGTGGGAAAATAGGTACATTAATGTACTTTGGGCAGAAATGTATCCACATATTCTGGGAAGCAATTTAGAAGTGTGCCACCAAAGTCACTAAACTGTGCATATCTTTTAATTGAATGTACACCATTATTACGCCCATATAGGACCCATACGTATATGAATATTTGAAGAAGCTCTTTTTCTGCAGTGGCAAAGAACTGAAAATGAGGGGATGTCTATCAATTGATTAATGTCTGAACATGAATGTAGTGAAAGATTATTAGGCTATTCAAAATAATGAGGGGGATAGTTTCAGAGAAACCTGGAAAGTCTTGCTTGAATCATTGCAGAGTGAAGTGAGCCGAATCAGGAAAACAATTTATATAATAATAACATTATAAAGACAAAAGACTTTGAAAGATTTAGGAACTTTGGTCAGTGCAAAGACCAACCATGATTCCAGAGATCTCGTGATAAAACATGCTACCCCCTTTCTAACAGGGACATGATAGACTCATAGTGCAGACTAAGACATACATTTATTTAATGTGGCCATTGTGAGAATGTTTTATCGGACAATTTTTTACAAGAGTTTTTCTTTTTTCCTTAAAATTGGGTGAGGAAGGTGGCAGGGAGAGAGACGCTATGATTAAGGTTCCCCAAAGAAAAATGAGAGAAAAGAGGGAAGGACAAAAGGAATCACAGACAAGCTGGACAGCTGTGAAAGTTATACTTTGAATGCATTATGTAATTTAAAAGAAAAATAAGCTCAATAAAATATCTATTCATGATTTCTCCTCCTGTTCTATAATGGAATTTTAAATTCTCATCTTACCTGATATGTATTAATTTCAGAATAAAAATTTTTAAAGAAATTTTAAAAAATAGGTATCTCATCAGCATTTTATAATTTATATATCTAAAATCCTAGAGGGAGTATTTCAGTTCTGAATAAACTTTTGTATGGAAATGGATTTTAATGGAAATGCAAATAAAAAGGTATTTTCAAAGGGAAGCTGCTTCACAGCTAAATGCTCTAAATATCAGAGAGAGCTTTTAAAGCTGATTTAATGTCATAAAACAGCAAATTTCATCAAATCACACTTATTTACTTCCTCACGTTCAACCCAACCCATATATAGTAATACATTACCTTTCTAATACTAAGCTACGTCACTAGCCAGAGCAAATCTGTGTAGGAGGGGACAAGCAAAGATGGTTTATCCATAGTCAAAATAAAAGCTATATTTGTACTCTGCTCAAAGGTGGGTCTCTCAGGGCCTCACACAGAGACTGTTTATTCCTATTTTACAAATAATTCTAACAATTCTGATGATGCGATTTTTAAGTCCACAACAGATTAGTAACAGCAAATTAAGAGTGGGTCCCTAGGCTCTCAGGGTAGGTGCTTTAAGCAGAAATATTGACAGCCTAACAGGAATCATGTGATTGGCTGAAAAGACCTTGGTTCCCGTTCTGCCTCTGCATTAACTATCTTTGTGACCTTGGACAAATCACTATGCCCCTATGAACCTCAGTTCTCTATTTGTAAAATGAGGGGAGTTAGCCGAAATGCTCTCTCAGGTTTCCAGCTTTAAAGTTCAATAATTCCAGCAAAGAGGTAGAAAGACAATTATCAAAAGCAGAGAAAAGAGCTTAAAAAGAATAGACGTCTGGAGTCATTCAGTATTTGTGGTTAGGGAGGAAGAACTCTATTATACCTCAAAAGGCCCTGAGGGTATAACTATATAATCGTACTATATGATAATTGATATTCATAAAGATGCTCCTGAGTAAAAAAAAGATTAAACTGCATTCCATATACACTGCTTAAGGAAGTAGAGATGTCTCTAATACATTTTAGTGGGATTTCATCCCCAATGATTGAATTATATTATTTGGTGTGTGCTTCAAGAATTAAATACTCAGCTATCTGAAAAAACTTTATGATAAAGAATGGTTCATTCTCCAAGGTTTCTACAGAGTTTTACTATGCTTTCAATTTCCATAAATTTGTACATCTATGAGTTAGATTTCAGTCACATTGTAGGTTTTGGCAGCTCCTGACAAGATGGTGACAAAAACCTAGGCTTCATCCCTGTAGAAGTTTCAGTTAGCTTTGTTCGTTCCATGGCCGCTATGCCCCAACTCAGTTCTTCAATTCCTCCTTAAAAATACATAATCTTTTTTATTCCTCTGATCCTAAAGGATATAGAATATATTTGTGTACACATATACATATGCATAAATACATGCATGCATGTATGCATACCATACACACACATATAAATTGAGCAACAAAGTTGGGGGACATATGTGCCAAAAATAAAAATTTACATATTTTTGTGTGTATATAATACACACACACATATAACATATATATATTGTGTGTGTATATATAGTATGCATATTTGTATATAGGTGTGTATATATGTATATATCAGTAAAGAATAATCAATACTCACTCCCCTTCCTTGCCACTTATTCTTTCTTTAAAAA